ATGTATGTATGTATGTATGTATGTATGTATGTATGTATGTGTGTGTGTGTGTGTGTGTGTGTGTGTGTATGTGTGATTCCTAGTTCTCTTGCAGCTGCACAACTCAAGGTTTACTACCCTCTTGATCCCTCCTCCTTGGTAGTTTCCCAACACTACCTCCCTACTACAATAAAGCAGCACAGCAGGATTTGGGGGCGGGGGTATTATTTAACACACACACCCTTATATATATAAATAATTTATGTGAAACACGTGTAAAATTCCTTTAATTGCTAGATGGTTTTTCACAGATGCCTGGATAATTTAGTTATTAAAATTAGCTACAGGTTTATCTGTTTGTGTTGCTGGAGCAAACTTGCAGTGTTCAAAAAAGAGCAGGAGCAAGTTTTATTAGCTCTACCACTATGGCCTAGGTCTGATCAGGTTTTTAACAATTGGCCAAACTCTGTGCATAGGAAGGTGTCACAACACAATCGGACTCCTAGTTTATTTTCAAAGCAACACAATCCCATACATGTACTGTACTTAGAATAACACAGTTGGAAGAGACCTTGGGGGTCTTTTAGTCCAACCCCCTACTGAAGCCTGAGATCTATACCATTCTGGACAAATGGCTGTCTAATCTCTTCTTGAAATCTCCAGTAATGGAGCACCTGTAACCTCTGGAGGGAAGCCATTCTCTCAGTGTCAGGAAATTTTCCCTTAATGCTAGGTTGGATTTCTCTTTTGGTAATCTTTAATCCATTATCCCAAAGGCTCATTTCCCAAAAGGCAACTGGACTTTCTTGGTTTTTTTTTCTTTGAAAACATTTCACTTCTCAGTTTTTTCAGAATTTCAAAAGAAAGAAAAGAAAGTCTAGTTGCCTTTTGGAAAAAGCACCTTTGGGACAACCATGATCTGGATAATTGAGAATCTTCTTACATTTCCATGTATTAATTTTTATCCTGCCCTCAAATGCTTTAGAGAATGTCAAAAAAAACCAAGCCTTCTCTGGCAGCTCCTCAAATATCAGTCCTCTCCAGGGCACTCCTAAGTCCTCTTTATTAAACTAGACATACCTAGTTCACACGATTCATCATTTGTTTAGCCTCCAATCTCCTAATCATTTTTGTTGCTTTTCTCTGCACTCTTTCTAGAGTCGCAACATCTTTTTTGTATCACAGTAACCAGAATTGGACACAATGTACCAAGTGTGATCTTACCAATGCAGCACTAGAACTTAATGTGATCTTGATACTAACCTGCTGTTAATGCAGCCTAGGACTGCTTTGGTTGTTTTGGCAGCTGCAGCATACCGGTGGCACATAACTAAATGTTCACTATGATACCTACATCTCTCTACCAGCATTGCTGTTAAGCATTTGGTTTTTCTTGCCTAAAGTTAAGACCTTACTTTTTTCATCACTGGATTGAATTTTGTTGGATAGAACCCAGTGTTAAAGTCCAAGATCCTTCTATACCTTCTAAAGGGTTAGCAATTGGTGTCATCTGCAAATTTGATGAATTCCCCTTCTGTCTCCTCATCTAGATAATTTATGAAGATGTTGAAAAGCACTGGGCCCAACAGAACCTAGTGGTAGCCCACTGCATGCTTCCCTCAATTTAGATATAGTTCCACTGAGAACTGCATATTCAGCCAGTTGCAAATCCATGTAGTGGTCCAAGCCATATGTTTCTATCGTACCAAGGAGTAGGCTATGAGCTACTTTATCAAATGCTTTATTGAAATCTAAGTGAATTATGCCCATACAGTTTAACTATGTCAAACAATGAAGTAAATTTTGTCTGGCATGATCTGTTTTTGACAAGGACAAATTGGCTTCTAGTAATAGTTTTGCTTGTTTCTAGGTATTTCTAGGCAATGTAGACCAGAGGTGGTATTCAGCCAGTTCAGACCGATTCAGGTGAATCAGTACGGCAATTTTAACTGGTTCATCAAACTGGTAAATACAACCTATGGCTGGCCCCACCCACCTGCTTGCCACTTGCCCCGCCCACTCACTCAATGCTTGATGCTTGCCCCGCTCACACTTGCTCTATATATGTTGCCTTCACTAGCTAATCGTCTCACCAGTCGCCTCTGCTTCTCGTCCACTCTGCTCGGCTCACCAAAGGTAAGTATGTTGCCCGCTGGCCCTTCGCCTTGGGTTGGGGGCTGGGGGCCAGGGATACAGCATTCCCTGAGGCCCTGGCCTCTGCCCACTCACTGTTTGCCTGGCCATGTAGGAGAATGCACCATTCCCTGACTCCAGCATTTCCAGAGCCGCCTCCTCCATGCTGCCTGGCGTCTGCTCTCCTTCACCACGTGTCTGTTTTCCCTCCTTTAGAAGCCTTGGCCCTTACTCAATCTCCCTGCTTCCTCCCCCACAACTGCCTCTTGCTTCGCCTGGCAATGAGGCCTTACCTTCCTCCCACGACTGGCTGCCAGGGAAGGAAAGCTAGGGCTGACCCATCACCACTGAGCCGTCACCTTTGGCTCCCCGCCAGCCCACATCTTGCCCCACTTGTCACGAGATGCTTGCAGCTGCCGCCTCTGTTTTTCAGTGTGAGAAGCCTCCTAGCCACCACCTCTTTTTGCCAGCCGGGATTGAGCCTGCAGCAGCAGCTGGCTGCAGGCTTCTTGCGCCGAAAACTACTGGCCTCCACTTCTCAAACACACCAAAAAAGAGCTTCAGTCCTGTGACCGTTGCCGCTGTGACACTCTGTTCTTCGTGTCGGCCATGCACGTGCACCCCATTGCCTGCTGCACTGGAATCCCTCCACTCCAGTGCAGCAGGCAATGGGATACGTATCATATTGGCCATGTGATTAGAGTGTATTCTTCATCCTGCATATGTGAACTGGTTCTGTTTTTCAGCCGAAGTGCTGTAAAACAGTGGAACCAAAGCTTATGGTAGCAAAAAGAAAGATTAATTCATTATAATTAAATCTTCAGGTGGAGAAACCTGTCTATATCAGCCCTAAACAAACAGCTGACTTTACCAACATCGCTCAGATGTTGCAGAATGTAACTCTTGCCAGGCATGCCATTGGAATGATCAAGAATTTTAGCAATTATTACTCTCTCCGTGAATATCTATCCAGACTCCAAAGGGGTCCTTGCCAGGTAAGTTTTGATTTTTTTATCTTGGGATGATTCTTTTTCCACTGGAAGGCCTATTTCTTCAGCCTGTATTGTTGCCCTCAAAACAGCCATCCAAATATATAACATCTGACTCTAGTCTGTTATAGATTAGATTAACAAAGATGGAAGGGACCCTGCCCAAGCAGGAGACTCTACATCATTTATGCCTTAAGAACACACATGTATTTTAATGCACCCTGAGAGAGGTGTTTTGGTGAGCTGTTACAATTGCTAAGCATTATTTACATATTAATGGGTGAAAATTTGAGCCTCTTACATTTACTTTAAATTTTTTAATGTACGCTTCAGAAAGCTGCTCATTGTTTTTTTTTACAGTTTCTCAGAATTAGTCCAAAGTGTGACCGTGCAGTTGTTTTCTTCTCTGTAGTCATAGAATCACAGAGAAACTCACTGAAAGCATATTGCAATGTTGACTATGCTGACTGAATTCACATGTCATGTGGAAATGCAACTATGGTAGAGTGTTTCCTCGTGAGTGTTGCAAACTGAGTTATGTTTCTTGTTCAGGGCACCATAGACACAGCTGGTCCATGTAGGCAATCTTCTCCTGCCTTCACTGTTGAAATCCAGCAAGAAATCTTGGAAAACGCACTTTTTTTCCTCAAAAAAGAAGGTAGCTCAATGAACTCTTCTCAGTGGAAAGAAGCCTACTTCCTTTTGTTTTCCAACATCTTGCCACATCCCAGGACAGTCCACTTTTCCCAGCTGGCTCCCAAATTGTCATGTCATCTCCACACTACGTGAGTCAACCATAAAGTGTTTCTGGACCAGGGCTGAGAGAGGTGTCCAATTGATTAATAACTAATCAGATTAGTAAGGACTCCAAAAATTCTAGGCCCTAGAAGACAAAATTTAGAGTAAATATTCTAAACATACATAGTGAAGTCCTATCAAAGCAGCCTAAAGATAAGCTGGATTAAAAGCTTTTGCTGGGTCAGGAGTCAATACTCCAGAGATGGGTTCCAGGTGGTTCTGTCCGGTACACGTGTACTGGTTGAAAAAATTAAGTGTGCCTTCTCGCACCGGGGCTTCTTCCAGGAGGTTTTGGCTGGCGCGTGCGCGGAGGGAGCTCCAAGCCTTTTTGCTTTTAGGCAGAGCTGATTCTGTGCCTTCGACGTTTTCCTGGGCAGCTGAAGGAAAAGCCCCGGGGTGATATTGGATATTTTAAATTCATTGATTGGCTTACTAAATTGAAAGGATTGAGGCGGCTGTAGAGGGGAGTGTCTAACATTAACCACCCCACAAGGGGCCAGATCATCAGTCTGGCGTTACGATCTAGGCTAGCTCTCTGCTGAGTGTAGCAAAATAGATAGGTGAGGAGCGGCTGACATCTGAGAGTGATCAACAAGTACCGTTTGACTCACGCAGAACCTAGTCCGTTCTACCAGAAAGTCATAGCTCGGCTTTTAGTGCAGATTACAGCCATTGGGGAGCCAGCCAGCCAGCCACCACTACACGAGCTGAGCTGCCGCATTGAGGCTGATTTTCTCCACTTACCTCTGTTCCAATCACACACACCCTCGCCCGCCAGCAGAAGCCTCCCGGGACATTTTGGCTGGTGTGCGCGCGGAGGGAACTCCAAACCTTTTTGCCTTCTGGCAGAGCTGATTCTGCACCTTCTATGTTTTCCCGGGCAGAGTCATGCGCCCGCCCACCTGTCTCTCTTGCCTTACACAACTTGGTTTGGAGTGGAGAAGGACCGTTCTTTCTGCTCAGCTTATACATGGTTCCACATCCGCAACTGATCTCTTCCTGGCCAAAAGGGCACCTTTTTGGTTCCAGTGGGGCTTCTGGAAGAGAGTGGCCGAAGTGGCTTCACTCTCCTTCTACCAGCCAAAGGAAAAGCCTCAGGGAGATATTGATACAAATTCAATCACCTCAGGGTGCAGCCTGTAATTACCCTGTCAAGCGGCTACAGCTGATTCAAGTGCAGATCGGAACAGAGATAAGCGCAGAAAATCGGCCTCAATGGATGGCTCGACTCATGTAGGGGCAGCTGGCTGGCTCCCTCCACAACGGCTGTAATCTGCACTAAAAGCCAAGTGGTGACTTTCTGGTAGAACGGGCTAGGTTCCGCGTGAGCCAAATGGTACTTGTTGATTGCTTCCGGATGCCAGCCGCTCCTCACCTATCTATTTTACTACACTTGTAG